GAAACCTATTGAGGGGTAAATGAAAATGAAATAAAAATATTGTTACTGAATCATTAACTTTAGAAGTTATCTAGTGAGTTGCCTTCGTGTCTCAGGTAGAAACTGAGATCTAAAGATATTTTAATTTTAGTGCATGGTGTGTGTGTGTTAGGAAAGCTTCAAGACCACTCAGTTAGGCTGATTTACTAGGAGTACTAATAGGACACAGCATATAGTTGTATTCATGGCTATGATTTATTATAGTGAAAGGATACAAATCAAAATCAGCAAAGGGAAAAGGCACATGGGACAAAGTTCAGGGGGAAACCAGGTGCAAGCTTTCAGAGTCCTCTTTCAGTTGAGTCACACCAAAAGTGCTTTATTCCCCTAGCAATAAGTTGTGACAACACATGTGAAATGTGCCTCTAGGGAAGCTCATTAGAAGGGGCTTTTATTAGGGGTTGATGATCCCTCTGCCTAGCATGTGCCACAGTTCCAGACTCCCAGCAGGAAAGAAGGTAGTCAGCATAACTGGATTGTTTCTACCAACAGTTTAGGTGCAGTAATCTGTACCTAATCAGATAGGGAGGGTGGGAACTCTCCTGAAATCCAAGTTCCTAGGCACCAGCCAGCCAAGGGCCAGCCTTGCTAGTGGGCCTTTTAAGATAGTCAGGCCTGCTATGTTAACTCTTTTCTGCATTCTCCGTGTATGTGTGTGTGTATGTATGTATATATAACACTTAGCATGTAGTGTGCTTTTATTAAATGTTAGCTGTTTTTATTTATTATAGGGATTCTTCATTGATTACTACTCCTTCTATTGTGATCTTCTGCATTCCTAGGAGGTAGGTTGGCCAGTATTTTGATCTTCATTTGATCAATGAGGAGGCCAAGGCAAAGAGAAGCCTTGGCACTTAATTGACAGAGCAGGTATCAGAATCTAATACGTTCTTTTTGAAAGTCCATAGGAAAAAGATGTTTTTTTTTTTTTTTTTGCCTTGTTGACATTTCTGGAGGGCATTAGTAAAATAGGAAATAGGATTAAATATTTAAGTTAATGTCATGTTGGACCAATTCATGTTTTATATTTAGCTATATAATTTTTGAACTTTTGGGCACAATGTCATTTAATGTAGCACAGTTCTGTTGGGGCAAAAAGTGATCTTGACTATTTAGCATTTTGTATTCTTAATGACAAACATTATTAATCTTAGTCCAAGATTAAGCTAATCTATATCAGTACTGATATTGCTGAATGTAAATTGGTACCTTTACTCTCAAATTACGTTACATTTACTCTCAAATAAGTCAAGGCATAGTAAGATTTCAGTCACTATGCTGAGTTCCATTTGGCCATATATATGAACTTTGAGATTTCTTAATAGGTATCCCAAAGTGAATTTAACTTTTCATCTAATATACCTATCAAAGCAGTTGGATCATTTATCTTTGTTTCTTGTAAGTTGTACTTGCAAGTAAATCAGACCAAACCACAATTTCTTTATCTCTCCAACACCAGAGGCAATTTTATAATTACTAGATTCTATTGTATGCCACTCTACTGGCTGAAATAGTATATAGTATATTCACTGTCAATACACTCATTTGATGCTCATAATGGCCTGTCATGATAGGTATTAGTCTGATTTTACAGAAGAGGAAGTTAAGACTGACTTATCCAAGGCTCTGGAAACTTCTAAGTTGGGGATCAGGCTTTTAACTTTGTATTATTTACATGATATAATGAAGATGGTAAGCTCTTTGGACATTTTTGTTCTAAATGTTAGCAGGAACCATTTTAGAGAAAGCAAATTATCCAACAGTAATTAAAATTTTCATAGGGGCACCTGGGTAGCTCAATTGGTTAAGCGTCTGACTCTTGGTTTTGGCTCAGGTCATGATTGCATGGGTTGTACAATCAAGGCCCTTGTCGGGCTCCACACTCAGTGGAGAGTTTGCTTGAAGATTCTCTCCCTCTGCCCTGCCCCCCCTCCCCCTCTCTTTCTCTCTCTCAAATACATAAATCTTAAAAAAATTTTTTTTCATAATTTCCACCAGGCCATCACTAAAAGATTTTTGGTCCCTTGTAAATTTATAAGCCTGAATAAGATTATGCTCCTTATGTTGCTCCCCAAATAAAAATATTTAGATTTTTTTTAAGTAGGTAGGAGAAGAGTCTTATACTTTGTATCAGAAGAAACTATGATATTTGCTATTATATGTTGGCCTGAGAAAGGTCTTTCCAAATATACAAAATACGGAAGCCACGAAAAAGGAGTTTGAGTAGTATAACTACCTAAAAATAACCACTATGAGCAAAGTCAAGGCAAATGATAAACTAGGAAAAGTATTGCTAGTCATGTGACATAAGGCTAATTTTCCTTATAGAGAGCTTTAACAAATCAAGAAGAAAATGTTAATATAAGGAATAAAGGAAATGCATAGGCGTTTCATTTCAAAGTAAACGCAAATTACTCAAACATGAAAAGTACTCAATCTCACTCATAAAATATGTATATAAGATACAGAATTTCACCTGTTAGATTGGCAAAACTAAAAAGTTTCAACGCTCATTGTGTTGGAAAAGATACAAGGAGATGACACTCTCTTGCATTGCTGGTGGGACCTAAGTCAGTATAGGCTACAAAAAGGAAGGGCGAGTTGGTATTGTCTACCAAAATTACAAAAGCACATATGCATATATTCTTTGACACAGTAATTCTGATTCCAGCAATTTGCTGGAAATCACTTGCAAAATGATATACATGCAAGATCATCCATGAGAGCATTGTTTGAATAGTCTTTGGAGATTTAAACTCCCCTTGTTATCTGTATTTTGGTCCTCCTTTTTATTCTTAGTATTAGTCTTCTCTCTCTTTTTTTTTCTTAGAGGTTGGTTTATGGTCATTTTATAGTTCTGTCTAAAAGATGGAATCAGCCAGGACTGTTCATTTTAATCAGCAGAAATCTACTCTGGCACATTTAAGCAGAAAAAGAATTTATTGAGAAAGAATATTGGGTAATCCAGAATAATCAGCCGGGTAGCCAGAAAACTTGGCTTAGAAAATAGCAGCTAGGATCCGAGAGCAAAGTCTGTATAAAATGAATTCTTTGAAAGTTCTTCGTGACCTGGTGTATTTTTAATTGTTCCTTGTTTACTTTAAGGAATATATATTCTATTGGGTGCATACATATATATAAATATATTAGGATCAAATCTGTTAATTTTGTTGTTCAGTTTTTCTGCATATTTACTACCTTTTGGTCTGCCTGATCTGTTTTTAATTGTGGTGTGTTAAAATTTCTTGCATTATTTTGGATTTCTTAATACCTCGTTATAATCTTAATTAGTTTTTGCTGTGGTATATGTTCATACAAGTTCGTGATTATTATATCTCCTTTTTGGGTTGCCTTTCTAATCATTATGTAATTTCCCTCTTTATCCCTATTAATGTTTTTGGTTTTGCCATGTACTAGTTTTGTGGCCTTAGGCAAGTCATTATCCTCTCATTTTCCTTATTGTAAAATGGGTATAATACCTACTTTATAAAATTTCTGTGAAGACTTGCTGAGAAAATATATATGAAGTATTTTACACGTGATAGGTTCTCCATAAATGGATTGAAAGTACTTTTTTGCCTTAAGGGTTCTTTTTCCTCTCTCCTTCTCCTTCTCTATTAAAGTATCAGATTTTAAATACTATTTGCCTATAATTGGAAATGTGCTTAAGGGATATGATTAAAATAATCATCAGGACTTTTTTTTATAAGTGAGTGAAGGTGCTAGAATGTTTGCCTCCCACACCAGGAGTCTGACAATTCTCTAGTACTTGTAGGCCTTTAAGTTACTGTTCCCTGCTTTTGCATTAGAGCCCGTTTCTAAGTCTCTTCCACATTTCTCAGGTGTACTAAATAAGAGTCTTTCAGAATAGTTGAGACAACTGAAAAAGGATAAAAGTCAACTTTTTAAGGAGCCTACTTTTCTACAACAAATATTTGTCAACCTCAATGGGATATAGAGTTCTTAGTAAGTCTTAAAATTAATACTATATTTTGATCACTACATGTACAAAGAAGTATATAGACGTGTCATGTACATTTAAGGAGGCAGAAGTGTGTACTTTCTCCCTCCTTTTTGATCGCATTTAGAACTTGTCTTTTATTCCTATTGTTCATCTGGGTTTTTATCATCTATTTATATTACCAACGTGTGTTGGTTGTGTGCCTTCTGTGGTCCTGAATATCTCGGATTTAAAAATATGTAGAGATAAGGGGAAAAAACAATGTCAGCTGAGAAAACAGCACAGAAGGTTTAAAAATATATGGCATGTATCTATTGTAACTTGGTAGGGTTAAGAGATCCAATGCTGGAGAAAGAAGAAATTGTGATGAAGTTGTGATCCATCTTTGGAGAGCCTTGAATGATGGGTTGAAGAGTTTTGACTTCATTCTATAGGCCAATGAAAACCACAAAGGCTTTAAGGATAAAAAATCAGGTTATATACCGAAAATATTTACAGGTTGTATGCAAGAAAATACTCTGCTGGCAATATTGAAAAAGGAAAATACAGTGTTATGAATAAAACTGTAGCTCATTTAATATGTTACTTGGTAACACTGAACTAAGCTTTAAATAGGATTTTTTCTTAAGGTCCTTTAACATGGGACTTTATCAGTGAGGCTCTTTCAGACCGCTCTTTATAAAATAATCTTCTTTTTTTCATCCTACATTTATTTTCCTCTGTAACACTTTGTACTACCAGTCGTATTATATGGACACACTTGTTTGTTTATTGCCTGTAAGTCTGTAAACTCCATGAGAGCAAGGGCTTTATTTGTTCATTGCTTCTCCCCAGTGCTTAGAACTTTAATAAATATTTGTTAATGAGTGAATGAATATTCAAATTAAGATGACCACAATTTTTTATGTGGTTTATAATGTGGGGACAGCAGTAGGATAGGGTTTTGGGTTCTTTCCTAGAAAGTCCTGTTAAAAAGTGTTTTCTTTTCCCTTTCCTCCAGAGTTTATATTCAGAGCACCAATCAAATTAAGCAAGCCTGGAGAACTTCGTGAGGAATATGAAAGCCTGAGAAAGGTACAGTATAAACATGATCACACCACTCATTTTCTTAAAGTAAATTGAAATGATGACATTAAAGAATACTTGGTGGGAGTTTTTGAAATTTACAATGCAGAGCCTGTCTCCATACTACCTTATACTGTAGCTTTAATAGAGGTAGAGTAAACCTTAACTAAGAACCCCTTTTTAACTGTCCTGTCATAGATGAAACTGTAGCTCACCTGGCCTGTCGTATACCTGCTACAATAACTGGCCACCAAGAGGGGTGTTCTTGGCATTTATTTATTTACTTACTTATTTAAATTTATTAGAGAGAGAGAGCACGCTCCAGTGTAGGGAGAGGCAGAGGGAGAGAATCTCAAGCAGACTCCCTGCTGAGCCCAGAGCCTGCCACAAGGTTTGCGGGGAGGGCTCCATGTGGGGCTCCAGTCCCACAATCCATGAGATCATGACCTGACCTGAGCTGAAACCAAGAGTTGGATTTTTAACCCAGGGACCTACCCAGGTGTCCCTATTCTTGGTATTTAAATCTTGGTTAAAAGCCAACATTTAAGCTCTAATAATAATAGCTTGTATTATTTTTCCTTACCTTGCAAGGTTCCTCTAATTACATGAAACTGGTGTTATCTTTTGTTGCTTTTACTCTGTTATGTACTGCAAATGAACTGTAGCTTAGGACAGTAAGGGGGGGGGAAGTAAAATAATTTTCTAGGTAGAGAACATTTACCACTGGGAAACCTTTTAGCTATGTCCCCATCATCTTATTTTCGATGTTTTCAAGCTTATTGTCTGTGAATCACTTAGAGAATTAATATGTCAAAAAGGCTGGTAATAAGTATGTTACAAGATTTGTTATCATCCTTCCCCAGCCCTTGTCCTACACCACCATACCTTACCCACCTTTGTAAATTATTCTACATGTGTATATTTAGTATTTTATAAAGGTAATCCACTTAATCTGAGTCAGATATCATCATAAAACAGGTGAGACAATAACATTATTGTGGCATTTTACACTGAATGAAAAAATCAGTCTTTAAAAAGGTCATGTTAAAGAGAAAATAGAGAACTTTGTTTAATTACTGTATATTCTTTGACTTTCTCTTTTAAATGAGAGTGTCAAATGTTAACTTGGGTCCTCATGCTCCTTTTATATTGGTATTGTGAGAGGTTTTTTTTGGTTTTTAAATCACTTACAAAGCTTTTTTCTACATAGAAAGAAATTTTTTATAGGGACCACATCAAAAGAACCACAGATTCCTCTTAAATAAAATTCCAGAATCTGCAGATATTTAATTCTGATATACCTTTTTACAAACTTGGAGAATATGGAAATTTTAAAGCTTTCAGCTTCAAGATAAAGAGAAAACAAGGAATTGGAGGTATAAAAAGGAGATAAAACAGAATGCATAGTAAGAGTAGAGGTTTTTATAAGCTTTGGGAGAGAGAAAGAAACCTTGGGAACTGTGCTTTTACTCCTTTTAGGAGGGAGGGACAGAAAAATGGTCTTAAAAGCATTTTAAATGGCAGAATGATGTTAAGTGAAGTTAGGACAATCTTACCCTATGTAAACTGGATTGGGTTTGAAAAACATTCACCTATGTTATTTGGGTTAAATAAATGACATATATAGCTCCCTCCCCCCAACTCCAAGTACCCAAGTTGCTGGCATCCATCGTACAACCTGGAAAATGGAAATTCAAGTCAGGAAATCAAAAGGCACTATATGGCATATCTATACAGTGGAATAATATTCAGCAGTAAAATAGAATGAATTACTGGTGCATGCTATCACTTGGGTGAACCTCAAAAAGATGCTAAGTGAAAAGAATCAGATACAAGGGACCACATATTGTATGATTACATTTATAGGAAATGTCCAGAATAGGCAAATGTAATGGAGACAGACAGGAGACTAAAGGTTGGTTGAAGTAGGAGGTGGGAATGGGGGTTAACAATAAAAGGGCATGAGCGATTTAATTGCAGTGGTGAAGATTTTTAAACCTGATTTATGGTGTGTTCCACAACTTGGTAAATTTACTAAAAGTCACTGAATTATACATTTGAGGTAGATGAATTATATAACATGTAAAATATGCCTCAATAAACTTGTAGAGAAAAATTAAAAGGCACTAGACATTTGGATGGAGACCTTGATAGAGAAAAGGTGTCTCGTAGAGTATGTATTTTCTAAAACAAAACAAAGTAAATATCTATATTACTGGATGAATATTTATGGAAGGAAAATCCTTAAAAGTTTCTATAAGCAGGGCACCTGGGTGCCTTTGGCTCAGGTCATGATCCCAGGGTCCTGGGGTCGAGCCCCACGTCATCCATGCTCTGCTCAGCAGGGAGCCTGCTTCTCCCTCTTCCTCTGCCCCCTCCCCCTTGTTCATGTGCTCTCTCCCTCTCTGTCAAGTAAATGAATAAAATCTTAAAAAAAAGTTTCTAGAAGCAAGGGTTGGTGAGTGGAAATTCTACACAACTCACCATGACTATTTTGATGCATAACACATGCTAGTAATATACTTTTTATATGGTGTATTTTATTTTGTTTAAGAGAGAGTAAAAACTTTTGTAAGGGCTATAAAAAGTTAATAAGAATTTTATTCTTCTAATTTTAGTTCTTTTAAAAGATATTTACTTAGTAATCATAGATCCTCCTACCTGCGGGTAGTGTTACACTTATTAGGTTACTATGAGTTTCTAAATTGTATGATTCTGTGGATTTATATTTCTGAATATGTTTAAAGTTTTCTTCTTGCCATATATCATAGGTAATTTTGTTTTCTTAATAAGAAAAGCAAGGCAGGAATATGTAGAGCAAAATGTGAAAGTTCCTCTTTTCCTTATTTCTCATTCTCTTCACCATAGTTAACTAGTATCGGCAGTTTAGTGTCTATCTTAGGTCCTTTATATACTTACACACACACACACACACACATATGCTTTAGTCTTTTTCAGTATAAATGAGATCATTATGTATATTGATTTATACATCAGATATTTTTTGTGTCCCTACTGTGTGCCAGGCATTGAGGATATGGTGTTGAAGAAGACACCGAAGGTCTTTGCCCAGGGAGATTCCATTCTAGTGCAGAAGATAGTAAATAATTAGCAAACAAATACTTACTATATATTAATAAGGTAGGATCAGAAGAGTCACAGGGGAATGGAGAGGAATTCAATTTAAAAAGAGACAGAAAAAGACTGTTTTAGATACAGTAATCAGGAAGGTCTCTCAGAGAAGGCAATGTTTGAGTTGCTACCTGGAAGAAGTAAGGTAGCAAGCCAAATAAAGGTATGAGGAAAGAGGATTCCAGGCAAAGGAGCAGCGAATGCAAAGACCCTGAATAGAAACAAGTTTGGCTTGTTCAAGGAACAGTGTGGCTGGAGCTTGAGTGTGTAAGTCGTGGGTGGAAGGGTGGTATGGGGATTTGGTAGGAGATGAGTTGGGAGAAATAGAAGGGCCATATCAAAGAAGGCCTAGTTGACCTGTTAAGGAACCTAAATTTATTTTAAGTGTGATGGGAAGCCAGTAAGATGATCTGACTCATACTTTTAAAGGTCTCTCTGGTTGTGCTGTAGGGAATAAACAATAATGGGCCTAGGAGTTAGGAATTGTATTTACTGTGAATAGTAGAGACCCAAAAATAACAACCCAAACAAATTAGGAGTTTTATTTTTCTCAAGTAACAAAAACCAGATGTAGGCAGCCTAGGGCTGATACGGCAGCTTCATGACATCAGGAAGTCAGGTTCCTTTTGTCTTTCTGTTTAGACATCTTCAAGTGTGCCTGTTTCCTTGTACTGTGGGATGGCTGATCCTTCTCTAGACTCACATCTAGACAGAAGGTAGGGGGAGAAAGGCACATACCAGCTGAATTGTTTTATTTATTTATTTAAATTTTTAAAAATATTTTTTTTAAGCTTTTATTTATTTGTCAGAGAGAGAGAGAGAGACAGCAAGAGAGGGAACACAGGCAGGGGGAGTGGGAGAGGGAGAAGCAGGCTTCCCGCTGAGCAGGGAGCCCAATGTGGGGCTCGATCCCAGGACCCTGGGATCATGACCTGAGCTGAAGGCAGACGAGACGCTCAACCGACTGAGCCACCCAGGCATCCCTGGGTTGTTTTTTTTTTTAATTTTATTTTATTATGTTATGTTAATCACCATACATTACATCATTAGTTTTTGATGTAGTGTTCCATGATTCATTGTTTGCGTATAACACCCAGTGCTCCATTCAATACGTGCCCTCCTTAATATCCATCACCAGGCTAACCCATCCCCCGACCCCCTCCCCTCTAGAACCCTCAGTTTGTTTCTCAGAGTCCATAGTCTCTCATGGTTCGTTTCCCCCACCGATTCCCCCCCCTTCATTTTTCCCTTCCTGCTATCTTCTTCTTCTTCTTCTTCTTTTTTTTTTTTTTAACATATAATGTATTATTTGTTTCAGAGGTACAGGTCTGTGATTCATCAGTCCCACACAATTCACAGTACTCACAATATCACATACCCTCCCCAATGTCCATCACCCAACTACCCCATCCCTCCCACTCCCCACCACTCCAGCAACCCTCAGTTTCTTTCCTGAGATTAAGAATTCCTCATATCAGTGAGGTCATATGATACATATCTTTCTCTGATTGACTTATTTCTCTTAGCATAATACCCTCTAGTTCCATCCACATCGTTGCAAATGGCAAGATTTCAGGGTTTTTTTAATGGCTGCATAATATTCCATTGTATATATATATATATATATATATATATACCACATCTTCTTTATCCATTCATCTGTCGATGGACATCTTAGCTCTTTCCATAGTTTGGCTATTGTGGACATTGCTGCTATAAACATCAGGATGCACGTATCCCTTTGGGTCTCTACATTTATACATTGTTTTGTTTTGGACCATGGTTTTTGAGGAGGTTATTTAAGGAGGGAATTGAGGAGATGACAACATGATGGACAGTGAAAGCATGGTAGGGTCAATGGATTGAGGTTTTGATGG